CAGCCCTCCTCCCCCCGCCCCCCCCCTGGCCAGCCCTGCTCCCTGCTGGCTGGTTCCTTCCCCTGATCTCCCCCAGCCAGCTCTGCTCCTCCCAACCCCCTCCTGGCCAGCCCTGCTCAGCACCGGCCAGTCATCCCCCCTCCCCCTCGGCCAGCCTCGCTGTCCCTGACCCCTTCCTGGAAGTGCCCTTATTGATTAATCGAATAGTTGATGCAATTTGTATTGACTATTTGATTAGCCAATTCGTTGAAAATTTACATCCCTACTCAAAAATGGTGACATCCTAGCCCCATTAAATTCATAGTAAAACTCTCATTGGCTGTAGTGGGGTAAGGACTTCACTGTAAATATTTTGAAAAGGAAACCATAGGACCTGGTTGTGAGTACCAAAGATCATACAAGTTCTTTGAGTTGCTTTTTTTTCTTTTTTCATATTTTACTTCTTTCCACTGTGCTAGCTTGCTTGCTTGCAGAGAACCTGCCCCTGTAGACACTGTGAATGTGATATCTCTGTACCTTCTGTTCAGCATTAAATTGTCTGCCTGTTCGTAGGTGCTGGAAGCCAAGAAAGGGTGTCATCTCTTCTCCACATTGCTAATTCTTTAGTGTAACTTTTCTTCTCCAGTTGAAGAAGGCATCCTTCTATGAAGTGCTAAGGTTCTATGCTGGCATTTCTAAGCTGAAAAAAAGTGAGTGGGAGAAAGTGTGCAAAGTTATGAAGTGAGTCAAATTCCACTTATGTACAGGAATAAGGCTTAATGGAATCAAACGATGGGGTTGCAAAGTATTCAATCTGCACAGAGCAGAAGCTAGTTTTAATTTAGGCTAAAAATAGAGGTGTGGTAATGCAGCAAGTGGGTGCAATCCAAAGCAAACTGGTGAAGTTATCTCATTGTCTAAATGGCCAAAAATACCAGTCATGGAACCAAAACTCGTACAGAACATTTCATTGTTGACTTAGGCCAGCAGGACTAAGTGGAAGGGAAATAAGGCCTACAACCATTAAATAAACACAGTAATATATATAGTGGAAATATTATACCATACACCGTGGAAACAAATGGGTTGAAAACTATGGTAAAGAACAGAACTATTAGACAGAGATGTTGGAGAAGAGTTAAAATCGCTTTTATAAACGGCAGTCATGCCTTATCATTCTCAATTTTTGAGGGGGTCAGCAAACATGTACACCTGAGTGATTCAGTTGATACAGTCTACTTGGACTGTCAGAAAGCCTTTGACAAAGTCCTACACCAAAGGTCCTTAAACAAAGTAAGCAGTCGTGGGAAAAGAGCAATGTCTTTTCATGGATTATTAATTAGTTAAAAGATAGAAAAAGGGCAGGAATAAATTATCAGTTTTCCACCTTGGAGTGCAATAAACAGCAGGGTTCCTTAAGGATCTGTCCTGGAACCTGTGCTGGTCAATTTATTTATAAATTATCTGGATAAATGGGTGAACAGTGAGGTGACAAAATTTGCAGATGATATGTAATTACTAATAGTGAAGTTATGAAGGGATTTCCCAAACTGATAACAAAATGGCAAATGAAATTAAATGTTGATAAATGGAAAGTTATGAATATTGGAAAAAATAATCCCAAGTACACCAATGTGATGGTGTCTACATTAGCAGTTACCATGCTAGAAAAAGATCTTGGAGTCATCGTGGATAGTTCTCTGAAAACATTTGTCCAGTGGTAGTCAAGCAAGCTAGCAATATTAAGAACTGTTAGGAAAGAGATGGATAATAAGACAGATAATATCCTTATGTCACTATATAATTGCATAGTACCCCCATATCTTGAATAGTGCATGTAGTTCTGGTCACCCCATCTCAGGAAAGATCCATTAGAATTGGAAAAGGTACAGAGAAATAATGAAAATCATTAGGGAGATGGAACAGCTTCCCAGTGAGGAGAGAGATGAAGAAGGCAGCGTGCTTTCAGTTTATAAAAGAGATGATTAAGGATGAAAGAACTAAAATCAGAAATTGCATGGAGAGAGTG